TCGAATTGTCTGATGATCCAGCCTTTTGTGAGAGCAATGGAAAGAATGAGACGAATGGTGGAGGGTTTAATGACAGGACTGAATACTTCATCAAAGTCAAAACCCTCCCTTTGTTGAAACCCCTTTGCAACAAGACGAGCCTTGTATTTATGAATTGTTCCATTTGGTTGTCTCTTGATGCGAAAAATCCACTTGCAGCCAATGGGTTTGATGTTGGGTGGAGGAGGAACAAGGGTCCAGGTACCATTTTTGATAAGAGCTTGAAATTCCTCATTCATGGCTTGCTTCCAATGAGCACAATTAAGAGTTGAGTTACATTCAGAGGTTCAGAATTGTGAAGATCTGAAGAGGAATCAAGCAAGGCAGTGGCATATGTCTTAGGCTTGTGAATGCCAGATTTGCTTCTGATCTGCATAGGGTGAGAATTTTGAGGAGTGGAATTCTGATTAGTGAGGGAGGAAGAACCATCAGCAGGTGTGGGAGTAGGAATGTGGTGTGCAGTACCTGAAGGAGAAAAACTTGACAAAACATTAGTAGCATCTGGTGATATAGTGAGGGGAGAAGAAACAGGTTTAGTATGCCTAGTGATGCAAGGTATCCTAGGAAGAGAGGAAGGTAGAGATGTACAGGATGTAATGGAAGATGTGTTAGAAAACAAATCAGAATAAGGGAAATCAGTCTCATCAAAAATGACATCTCTAGAAATGAAGACGTTTCCTGTTGGGGAAAGGCATCTGTAACCTTTTTGATTTATAGCATATCCTAAAAACAAGCATTTGTGAGACCTGAAATCGAGTTTATGCTTGTTGTAAGGTCGAAGTAAGGGAAAGCATGCACACCCAAATACTTTAATAAAACTGTAATCAGGTTTATTGTGATAAAGTAATTCAAAAGGTGAGGTAAAACTTGTAACAGGTGAAGGCAATCTGTTTATTAGATAAGTAGCAGTAGAGAAGGCATCTTCCCAAAAGGATAAGGGGAGTTTGGCATTTGCTAAGAGAGCCAAACCAACTTCAGTTATGTGCCTATGTTTTCTTTCAACTCTACCATTCTGTTGATGGGAGTAAGGGCAGGTGAGTCTGTGAATTATGCCATGAGTGTGCAGAAAATGAGTGAAAGCATTTGATATGTATTCTTTGCCATTGTCAGTTTGAATCGATTTTATTTTCAGACCAGTGAAAGTCTCAATCATAGACTTGTATTGTAAAAAGGCATGAAAAACTTGAGACTTATTTTGTAAAAGATAAATGCAACTGTATCGAGTAAAAGCATCTACAAATAACACATAATATCTACTGCCAGTAGATCCAGAAATAGGGGCTGGTCCCCAGACATCCGAGAATATAAGGTCAAGAGGAGCAGCATAATAAGTTGTAGAAGGAAAATGAGGCAATTGATGAATTTTGCCTAAACAACAAGCTTCACAAACAGAGCTATGCAACATAGTTTTATTAGCAGAAACAGGAAAGTTACATTGCTGCAATACAGAAGTGACAACCTTAGAGCTAGCATGGCCTAATCTTTTGTGCCAAAGATCAAAAGAAACATGTTTAGAATACAAAGCAATAGGTGGTGAAGAAACAGCTTTATTTTTATGCACTAATACATTGGAAAATTGATAGAGACCATCTTTAAGCTTGCCTTTGAGGACAATATCCTTAGTGACATGAGATTTGACAAGGCAATAATCAGGAAAAAATTCAAAAAACACTTTGTTATCTCTAGCAAACTGAGATACACTGACTAAGTTTTTGGTTATGGAAGGCACATGTAATAAATTATCAAGTTTGAAGATAAAAGGAGATGCAGATGATGATATGAAAGAATTTCCTACATGTGCAATACGCATACCTGTGCCATTTCCAATATGAACTTGCTCAGAGCCATTAAACTCAGAGCTAGAAGAGAGATTACCAAAATCATTAGTGAGATGATGGGTAGTTCCATAATCTGGATACCAAGAATTGTCAGTGAGAGAGGCTGGTCCTGCGAGATAGGCCTTGGGGTTGTGGAATGAAGGAGGTGGAGGTGGAGGAGGTTGTTGATTCTGGGTGCTGTGAGATGATGGTTGATAATTGGAATCAAATCTGTAAAAGCATTTTAGAGCAGGGTGTCCTACTCTTCCACATATTTGACATTGCAAGCGAGGTTGATTCCAAGAATTCCAAGACTGACTTTGAGATCTTCCACCTCTAAAGCCACGGCCTCCTCTGCCTCTTCTTCCTCCAAAGGATCTTCCATCATTACTGTTGAACCTTCCTTCAGTGTTGGTGGTCTTGTTTTCTTGCTGCAGATTGGTTTGTGTAACATTTGCTTGAATAGGGAGAGAATCTGTCTTTTTGAATCTTTCGAGCATTTCTTCTTGAGCAAGGAGAAAAGCTTCCAATTCTATGATTGAAAAGGGTGGGAATCGTGACATTGCAGAAGTGATGAGAGGAGTATATTCTTCACTCAAACCATCAAGGATGGCTTCAGAATATTCTGCATCAGTTAATGGAGAACCTACAGCTCCCAAAGAATCAATGATTTTCTTGATTTGAAGGAGATATTCAGATGCTGGTCCTTTCTTCTTGATGGACTTCAGCTGGTTTTTCAGTTGTTTAACTTTTGCTTGAGTGTGTGAGGCAAAATACACTTGAAGCCTTGTCCAAATTTCATAGGCGAATTTGCATCCTACCATTCTGTTTTTGAAGGATATATTCATGGAGGACAGCAGCCAGGATACAAGAAGATGGTCTTGTTGATGCCAGGTTGCATATTCTTCATATTCTTTTTCACTTTCTTTATCTTCTTGAGTTGAAAAACGGGTGGGGATCTTGTCTTTGTTGAGATGATCCTGCAAGTTGTGCCCATGTATTGAAGCAAGGGCAAGTTGTTCCCAAGGAAGAAAGCTTTCTTCATCAAGCTTGTCAGCAATGGGATTTGAGAAAGATTTCATAATGAGCTTGACTGATTTTGCATTTTCATTGCTTGTTGCGGATCTTGGAGATGATTGATCAGAATCCATGGATTGTTGAATAGCTCTGATACCATGTGAGATATCAGACCTTTGAGATGAAAAGGAACTATTCACACACGGTGTGAACAAAGAGAAAACAGAAGCAATAAGAGAATGAAATATTTGGTATTTGATTAACATGAAGAGTACATGATGGGCTGCTTTATATAGCAGAAAGGGAAGCTAAAATAACAGAAAATAACTGTAAATAACTACTATCTATCACACATCCAGTGTTATCATTATTAATTAAAAAAAATCTCAATGACAGAGTCGCATGCTTTTAAAGAAATGGACGATTTCCAAAAAAAAAATCATGACTTTACGTGGATCATGTAGAACTGAATGACACTGTTTTAATGACCCACGCTTTCCATATACAGTCGTTCCATATTACACACTTGAGCTCCTTTTTATATTTTTTTAAACACATATTCAAAGTTTCAATTAAAAAAAATCAGAACAAAAAGTTTGAATCAAAATTAATATTGATTCTGTAGATTTAAATTGTACGTTGGGATGTATTTCGTAGTTATAAATGTTATTTTTTTTGGATTCCACTGAATAAAGGTTAATAAAAATTCAAACTTTAAATTTTAAAAATAAGAAACAAAAATTTGAATTAAAACTACTTATTTTTTTAGATTTAAATCGTATCCTAATCTGTTTTTAGTAGTTATAAATGTTATTCCACGCCAAAAAAAAAATGTTATTTTTTGATGGATAAAAAAGAATTTTTTTGAATTCCACTGAATAAAGGTTAATAAAAATTCAAACTTTAAATTTTAAAAATAAGAAACAAAAATTTGAATTAAAACTATTATTTTTTTAAATTGAAATCGTATCCTAATCTCTTTTTAGTAGTTATAAATGTTATTTTTTGATGGATAAAAAAAGACATACTTTGAATTCCAATAATCAAAGTATAATAAAAATTGAAACTCTAAATGTTAAAAATAATAAACACAAATTTGAATTAAAACTACTTATTTTGTTACATTGAAATCGTATCATAACATGTTTGTAGTAGTTATAGACGTTTTTTTCTTTTTTTTTTTGGATAAAAAAAGACATACTTTGAATTCCAATAATCAAAGTATAATAAAAAATGAAACTTTAAATTTTAAAAATAATAAACACAAATTTGAATTAAAAGTACTTATTTGGTTACATTGAAATCGTATCATAACATGTTTGTAGTAGTTATAGACGTTTTTTGTTGTTTTTTTGGATAAAAAAAGACATACTTTGAATTCCAATAATCAAAGTATAATAAAAATTGAAACTTTAAATTTTAAAAATAATAAACACAAATTTGAATTAATATATAAGAAAATGCTCCACATTTGCGTTCTTTAATGATATCTAAATTTAATATATTTTTTAAAATTAAGATGCATAAGAAGGATAATATCTAAATTCCTTGTGAGCCTTTCTGTATAATTTTGTATAACTATTATAATGATTTGGCATCCACTTAAAAAAAAACAGCAATTCACTTCTACATCCCAAAGCCTCATTACAAATTATTCTTTGAGAATTTGATACAATAAAATTTGACATTTTTATTTTAACTTTCTTTTGAACTCTACAATTCGAATTTTTTCCCATTAAACAATGTTGAACTTTTTTCCCACCTATATCATGTTTAAAATTCGAATTTTGAAAAAGTAATGGAGTATTAATACAGATATTTGCCATCAATTAATGCTGAATTTTTTTCCACCTATATTAAGTTTAAAATTCAAATTTTAAAAGTTAGTGGAATTTTTCTTAGCATAATACAGATGTTGTGCATCATAGTTTTTGGCTCATTCTCCAAAGTATAACTTTTAATGTCATTGAATGTTTGCTCTTTTTTTGAGTTAAAACTGATTCCTATTATCAATAACTTTAATTAAAAGCAATCCTTATTTCCTAGGCAAAAGAGAGACATAATAACAATAACAATACACTTGATAGCAAATGCGTTATTTGAGAAGCACCATTCAATAGTTGACATTTATTCCATCAAAGACAGAACGAAGAAGTTGATTCTTTGAAGCTGAGTAAGCAGACTCTCATCAGTTGGAAGCCTCAGGTCATCCTTGGTGCCACCATTATCAGTTAGCAGGCTCACCTATAACACATCATTCAAGTAGAGATTTAGATAATAGAAGCAAAATAAGATTAATGGGTGAATCAAAGGAATTGTCAACAGAAACTCACAAATCCATCCTCAGAAATATCAATTAACTGGTAGTCAATACGATTCACACGGGGAACCTGGAATAATAATAATAATAATAATAATAATAATAATAATAATAATAAGATTACAACAACAGAGCAAAAGTTCCAGTTAATTAAGTGTCATCAAAGAAAGAAATCACAGAACTGAAGAACGATGAAACATAATAAAAAGTGCATACATCACAGTTGTGGGAAGAGGGCACAATATCTTCAAGCTTCTTGCCAGTGAAAATATCAATTCCAACAAAGTGGCACTTAGCATGACCATGCTTACCAGTCTTGAAAGTTGAAACTTCAACAACCTATCATAAAGAGAACCCATTGATAACCATAAATCAGTATCACAAAAACCATAAATCAGTATCACAAAAAGTGCCAAAAAGAGAACGCAGCCCAACACATTAAAAAAAAAAATCCACACAAAACAATAAAATACGCAAGCAAAAAGTCAATTAACATCGATTGGTTAGTTGCTTAAATGCACAAGTTCGAAATCTAAGAAAAACAATTAACCACATGATAAAAAGAAAAACTCAAATCATACATCCTAAAAATACAATACAGGAAGCACAAACAAAAGCATAAAAAGGAACACCATATGGAATTTGAGATTTCAACAGATAACAATCTTTTTTTTCTTTTGACAGTGAGAACTGCTTGAAGACCAAAACCTAATCATCTAAATCAACAACACAAATAGATCTCAAAAGCCAAAATATCCAACACATACATAATCGGGACCAAAATCAATTACTAAACCGTAAAGAATAAAACAAAAAAATCTAAATCAAATTAATCCAGCATCATTAAATAAAACAAACAATCAAACACCGAAAAACAAAAAACATAAATTCCTCCAAAAAAACAACAAAGCAGAATAGATTAATGACTTGATTCGATTGAAATCAAGAGTAAACAAAAAAAGAAGAAGAGACCTTGCAGGGGCGATCCTTGATGACGATGTAACCGTTTTTGCGAATAGTGCCAGCTTGCTGAGGATAGGTCTTGGAGGCTCCGGCATCAGCCTTGGACTCAAAATGGTGTTCCTCGTCCGACATGTCTCAACTCGGAGATGAACATAAAGGTCAGTTTGCTGAACCAGCTTGATGAACTTAACCAAGTCGTATCTATCCTTAAAATAAGAAAAAACATTATTATGAAACAACATTATAACTAAATAAATAATAAAAAGTTAAAAGAGAAAAAAAAATTAAACAGAAATTACGATTATATATTCTTCATAGAAACAAAATCAATTTCTTTCATGAATTTCTCCAGATCCATGAAAATGGCGTGAAGAAATTATTGAAAAATAATAATAAAAAATGGAAGAAAGAGGAGATAACCATATACACTCAAAAAAATGGCGTGAAGAATATCTTCAAAGAAATCAGAGATTCAAATGCTTCTAAGCATATCCACTCAAACTCGATCTAATCTGCAAAACGCAAAGGAACACTATAAGATGCAAAAAGAACAACAAAAAATGAGAAAAATTTGATTAAATCTACACGAAAAGAGAATGATGAAGAACAGGAGAAAGAACTACGAACAAAAAAATTGTGCACTGATAAAAAACGACGAACAGATAAATAAAGAACGACTAAGAACATAAAGGATGAGTTTTTCCTCTGGTATAGCAGCTAAAAAAAAAAAAAGAACAGAAGAACAGGAGAAAGAAGAAGATGAGAAGGCGTTTAGGGTTTTGTTAAATGTTTAATAATTTTAATGAAAAAAGCAGTTGAACATTTACTGAGTTGTCAGTTTTCAAAATTTAAATTTTTCTCTTTTCTTCCACATTTAAAATTTGAAAAGGATTATGAGTTGTGTCCCAATAAAGATGAGAACAAATCTAAACCATTGATTTTGGACAGCAAATCGTGGCCATCAATTTTGAGTCCAGATTATAATTTCTTTTTGAATTTTTTTATTCCCTGAATTACCCAAAAAGAAAACTTTTTGAATTATGGAGTGTGAAAGCAAACATGTGTCAGAAGGAGAAGTAGCCACGTGTCAGAAGTTGCCAAAGAATGACTTTCTCTTAAAATATAAAATTAATTGGGCTCGCATATGTATATTTGACTAGATTCGGGGCACACAAATTCTGGAGTAAACGTTAGAACACTGAAATATTATCATTCGGCAGGGATAAGAATCACATACAACTGAAACAATCAACTCGCAATTCAATCCTTAATTAAATTTATTTGTGTATACAATTTGGTTCTTAAATTTATTAAACTCACTACAACTTCAACAATAAAAGGGGTATGAGTTATTAATTTTTTTTTTAATTTTCTTGTTGTAGATAAAATTTCGTAATTAATTTAATTAGCAGATAATAAAAATTCATAATTTATGCTATCAAATTACTTTTTTATTTAATACTTATACTATTTTAAAAATTAAATGGAGTATAATTTTGCTATACTATATTATTCTTTGTTTTTCAATAAATAAAACCGATCCATCATATAACGAATTTTTTTTTTTTTTTTTGAGGAACACTCTAGGCCATCTGGGTTATGCTTGCCAGCTTTGCTTTGAGGTCTTTTCTTAATATCTTTCCGGATGGAGACTTGGGAATGGCATGAACAAAGTACACTCTGTGTAGTCTTTTGTAATACACTACCTGTTCACAACAAATACCACAAACAAGCCATTAATTCTCTCAATTACTTGAACTTATTTCCATGAAATTTATAGGCATCGATATGGTGTACTTAACGTGTGCCATACTAACATGGGAATTTCCTCTCTCTTTTTCTATTTTTTTTATATGCAGCATCATATAATAATTTTTTTTTTTTTTTTTTGTAATACATAATTTTTTTATTATAGCTTGATATCTGACATAATGCAGTTGAGCAGTCAAAAAATCCAAAACGAATATATCATAAAACTTGAAATTGTATATCGCATTGATTGTATGTGGCTTTTTTTCTTTTTTCTAATATATATATATATATATATGATTGTCATTGTAAAAAATTTCATTATTATTCAATCATATTTTACTATATTATTAATTTTTTTTCAACTTTTTAAGTAATTATTTCCAGAATTAAATTTTTAATGATATGATAACAAATAATTAAATGATATATAAAAAAACTTTGATAGTGAATCAAATTTAAAATCAGATATATACTTAGAGTACTTATATATAAAAAAAACAAATAAAAGTACTCGTGCTTAATTTCACTACTCTGAAATTAATGTATTTCAAATGTATTTATATATACCGCTTAATTCCTCAATACAAGGCAATCCATATTTGAATGTATTTGTTCTCACTAAGAGTGGAGTTAAATCTTTTTATATTTTAATTTTAACAAAATTGTATGGAAACTAAAAAATGAATACCTTTAGCGAAATGAAAACAATAAATTAAATATGATGGTAGTGTATATACCTGTTTGGCTATAAACTCCTTTATAGCTTCTTCAGTAAGATCAAAGCTAACCACGAAAGCAACTGGAACTTCACCCGCAGCATCATCCATTTGCCTGTTAACGTTTGGTTCCATATTTGATAACATTATCTATTAGTCAATAATTATAAGTATATGATAAAATTAAAACATATATATGGTGCTATCTATATAGTTATTTTCAATGATACTTACGGGACAACAGCTGCATCCACAATAGAAGGGTGGCTCACAAGAAAGCCTTCAAGTTCTGCCGGCGGCACCTGATGATAGAATAATATAAAACAATGGTATATTATTATTATGGGCGTTACAATTTTTTTTTACAAATTTTTGCAAATTACACTAGTTTCAGAAGTATGTAGTGTAACCTAGTGTATTTCCGGGAGTACATAGTGTAGTTTGTAAACAAAAAGTTTGTAAATATAACTCTCCCCTATTATTATTATTATTATTATTATTATTATTATTATTATTATACTTTTTCCTAAGTAAATTTTGCTGGTCAAATTAAGAATTCATATATACCTGGAAGCCTTTAAATTTGATGAGTTCCTTGAGCCTGTCAACAATGAAAATCTCATCATCATCATCTACGTAGCCAATATCTCCCGTATGAAGCCAACCCTCGCCATCTATAGTTGCTGCTGTGGCCTTCTCGTCATTCAGGTATCCTATATGAAACTTATTTCTATCAAAACCAATGTTTTTAAAACCATACTAGTAACTAAGTCAAGGTTTAACAAGAAATAGTTATTTTTAGTTATTTTACTCATGGATTACGAAGTTAATTATTTAAATTAAATATTTATAATTATGAGTTTTTTATTTATAAATATTTTTAGTTATTTAGAAGATAATGTTTGATTAAAAGTATTAAATATATTTCTCATTATAAAGTATTAATAGAAAGACTCATTTTCAGATTTAATTTTATTTGTTTTTATTTGCTTGTAAGTTGTAACGAAATTTGCATGCACTTGATAACTACATATACATAGTTTAAATGAAAAAGGTCATTAAATTCATTTTTGACATGTTGATTGAAATTTTATAGGACATGTAAATATTTACATTAGTTACTATTTTATCTTTTTTATATTACTGAAATAATCTTCTAACTCTATTTTAATTATATTTTGATAATTTTTTTATGAAAGATATTTATACTAACTACAATTTTTATTTATTATGGAATTTTATATTTGTAAAAAGTTGACAATTTTTATACTAAAATTATTAGCATAAATAAAATAAAAATATATCATCATTAAAATATACATAGATTAAATAAAATTAATTATAATATTATTTAAGTATTTTTTTAATTTAAAAGAAGACCAACTTAATTGAGAAAGCCCACGGAGAGAGCGGAATGGTGTTGGGAATGGGATAAAATAAATTGTAGGGTTTGAAATTGTATATTCTCCTTATATTTTTTCATAACTCTTGCGAATAAGATATTAAGACGGAAAGAAAAGGAATTTATGAATATATGATAAAATAAATTTTTTGGGCATTTTAATGATAACTACTTTATAGTAAGATGTTAATTATTCAATTTATTGAAAATGAATACGCTTATGGTTGATACTTTAAAAAATAAAAAATTGAAAAGTTATAAAAAGAAAGAAAGAAAGATGTAAATTAAAGAAATGAAAAATAAAAAACTTAAAAATAGTTATATATATATTACGAAAAGAAATTTACATTTAAAATTGAAAAAAATTATCATGTGATAATTATAGTGAAAGAACTTTTATACCATATATGTTACATGATGCACTAGAGCCATGTTTCAATCTACAATAAGTCGATATGTAATTTTTGTGAGAATTAAATTGAATCACTCATTGAGTGAATCTTGATCAGTTTGACTATTTGTTTGGATAGTTTAGAGCCGGTTCAATAATCTAAAAGCTGATTTTATATATATTAAACTCCCTTAAAGTGAATAAATAAATAATGGTGCAACCATGAAATCAAAAGTAGATACATTGGTATTATTTAATTTAGAAACAAATCATATGCTACTTGTATATAGTATATACCTTTCATGATCTGTGGGCCTCGGATGCAAATCTCACCAGGCTGATTATGGGAAAGAGAAGAACCAGTTTCAGGGTCAAGGACCTTTATCTCTGCATTTCTGACTACAGTGCCACATGACCCTGACTTCGATGGGAATGGCTGTTTTGCAAACCCCAAACACATCGACAACACAGGCCCAGCCTCTGTCATCCCGTATCCCTATACATTACATTTTGTCACATCTAAAGCTTCATATATAGTTAAAATAGAATAATAGACAATAATAAAAAGTTAAAACTTACAATATTAAAAAAGTAACTAAGTAAGGGTTATTAAATTACGGAATAGCGCCTTAGCCAAATTTCAAAAATAATATATATATATATATATATATATATATAAATATATATATATATATATGAGGCAGGATTTTCTTACACCGGTGTAAGAGTTAGAAGTCTTACATTCAATCTTGATCATTAATCTAATTTCATCCAATGACTCATATTACTAAAAAATTAGAGCCCTTAGATATAAGTGGGATCTACGGATAAGATTAAGAGTGTAACTATGTAAAATGAATCTGATCCTATATATAT